ACCACTAACTTGACCGCTTCAACAGCACAATCCTTTGTCCTTTTCAAGTACCGGATAGATCGTTCTAGATCCGCTTCATATAGTGCTCCAGCTACTTCGTCAACTTGCTCCGGTATATGGTGGAGGTTCATCATAAGGGATTCCAGTTGGTTAACAAGGGAAGGCAAGTATTCAGGAACCTTCTTCAGGCGATTCGTGATGATTGCGGGGTAAATTTGGACAACTGGCTTGAGTAGCCGAATAGAAGTCCTTTTCAGTTCATAAAGCACAGCATTGTCTTCGCCGTCGCTGCTATCCTCGGATAATTCGCCCTCACTGCCATTTCCAACACTCTGTTTCCCGTCGTCGCTCAAAAGCTCATCGAAGAACTCATCCCCTTCTTCATCAGGATTCCATGCATCAATCTCATCCACCGCATCTCGCACCAGATCTCTCCATTCTTCCACGCGCCGTATTATAAACCCAGCAACGCCATTTGAAGCGAGGTCAATCAAGGCATCACAAGCACCCCAAACCCGTCCTGTAGCTACCGTAACGAGGTCTTTCTTAGACTGCGACAGTTCGATTCCCTTCTTTTTCATGTGTACTTCATCATTTCCCTCTGCAATTGACTGGACTTCTTTCACAAGTGATGACAGTTCGTTCAGCCCTGTCTTCGTTAGCGATAGAGCCTCGGCCTGAAATGCTTTGGTGTGATCGGTCGGTGTAATGAGTAGAGCTGCTGTCACAAACGACGGGAGCACCGATCCGTTCAGGTCAGAGAGAAGAGAGACGACGGCGGTGGGCGTAAATGGAGAGGTAATGGCCAAGAGCGAAAGCTTAGTGACTTGTGACTTAAGGGCTGTCGACGATGCCGAAAGGAGGGGAAGTGCATCTCTGCTTGAGAGTTCTGTGGAGGCTGAGTCTCCAGAGGGCGACGATAAGGTCAAGCGGAATTGCTCCACGAGGGTAAGGGTAGTTGTAATAGTGACGTGAAGCTTTGTTGACATTCTGACCGGACTATGGGTGTTTTGGTTGGGCTCGACCAGCTCAAGGCAAGTTGGGGAGAAATTTTGATTAGAGAACTGCGGGGCCGTTTGTTAGGGCTCTGCGGGGTCACCTGCGGCTGACCTTAGTGATGGAAAGCGGTTGTACATTTATACATACAGTTTTGTTGATTTGTACTTGTGGAATTCCTGTCCGTTACAACATCACATGTGCTTGTATATCTGACTACCAATCCAATAAAAAATAATGTGGCACCCTAACATGTGCATACAAACTTACTAAATGATACATCACCCTGGGTAGTGGATATATCTACATCTGCTTCCGGCAGGCATATCAGAATAATAGACCATCGCGAGCTTTCCCAACCGCATGGTTTTATCATCAATTGTATGTCGGGGTTTACCAATCGTTATACCCAACAAAACATGGCTTTCGTGAAGGGAGCTAAAAACCTCGTACTGGGCAACTATACGGAATCGCCATGGGTGGGAGCTTCATGATTATCATCTCCTAGTATATTCTTAAGGTGCCTAGCAGTGACAATTGAAGACTAATCCATGACCATTCTAAAGAATTTCGTGTAAATGTTACAAACGTTGCAATAAGGATGCACTATGCTCATGAGGTTTGAGTTGTGCCCTAAAGCTGAGCCCTACATTTCCTAATCTGTGAAACTGACCGCTCGGAGTCTCCGGTCCCGTCGACGGACAGAATACCGCGGGTCGTTTCCATCTCTACCTAGTATTTCAACACCAATAGGTTTTCCTTCGAACGTTTAGTGGTTTAATGCGGAGCTGGATACCTGCAGATCTAGATACTATACGATTTATGTCCCAAACCATGGGAACCGCCAAACCGCGCCCTTCTGGAAAAGCTTCCATCGCAAATGCCCAAACTTTACCCAAGAGGACCTTCATAATCGACAATGGCGCGTATACGATGAAAGCCGGCTATGCGCCTGACTATATCACGGGAGACGATACAGAGGCACTCTCCGCCTGTTCTGTTATTTCTAATGCGCTCGCCAAGACTCGCGACAACCGCGTCTACGTGGGTTCGCAGCTTAGTACTCATGTTACGGATTGGAACGAGCTGATGTTTCGACGTCCGGTCGAGAAGGGATATACTGTGAATTGGGAAGCGCAAAAGGAAATCTGGGAGCATTCATTTTTTGACGAGAAGACTGTGCGAAGCAAAGACCTGCGGATCGCCAAACCGGAAGAAACGACGCTTGTACTGACCGAGGCTCCAAACGCGTTACCGGCGCTGCAGAAGAATGCAGACGAGATTGTGATGGAGGAGTGGGGGTTCGGTGGCTATTTAAGATGCGTGGGTACGGTTGTAGATGACACTGTTGTACTGCTGCTTGGTTACCTGGCTAATATTGGCATTTTAGGTCCGTCGCTAAATGCCTGGAACGAAGTCCAATCTTTATTTGGAGACCCCATCGTGCAGAAGTATGACTCGGCTGTTTCGCCAAGAGAATGCCTCCTTGTGGTCGATTCGGGCTATTCTCACACCACAGTTACACCGCTGTACAATGGCCAACCTCTTCAGCGTGCCATTCGCAGACTTGATCTTGGGGGCAAGCATCTTACGAACTATCTGAAGGAGATGGTATCCATGAGACAATACAATATGGTGGATGAAGCATATATCATTAATGAAGTGAAGGAGGCAGTGTGCTATGTCAGTGATGACTTTGGCCGTGATATGGAACGGACTTGGAAGGGCAACCGAAAGCGTGGCCAACTCGACTCTGACGAAGGTGTCACGGTCGACTATGTCCTGCCAGACCCAAATGGGAGCAAGAAAGGGTTCATGCGACCTCATGATCCTCTATTGAATGCCAAGAAGAGGAAAAGTGCACTCTCAGGTGCTACCGCTGAGGCATTATCTGAGGATGTCTTGGTTCTGAGTAACGAGCGTTTCACAGTCCCTGAGATTCTATTCCGCCCAAGTGACATCGGTATGAAGCAGGCTGGTATTACTGATATGATTCTCCAGAGCCTTTCGGTGCTGCCAACTGGGTTACATCCTGCCTTCTTGGCAAATGTGCTAGTTGTTGGAGGAAACTCCTTGACTGCTGGATTTATGGAAAGACTGTGAGATGTCGTCTCGTCCATTTCTCGTATTTACATATTGCTAATTCGCTGTAGGGAGAAGGAGCTGCGTGAAGTTGCTTCGGCAGAATGCGCTGTGAGGGTTCGACGGCCTCAGGAGTAAGCTTGTTATTACAATGTTGATCTTAACTGTGCGCTGATGGTCTCTGGAAACAGTCCAATTCGCTCCACCTGGCTTGGGGCAAGTCGATTAGCCACCAATAGAGATGACATGAAGAAGGTTGCTATTACCCGCCAGGAATATCAGGAGAATGGCTCTGTTTGGGCTGGGAGGAAATTTGCAGGCACTGTATGAAATCGAGTGCTTTATTTCGTGGTGTTCAGGATTGGGATCTTTGGAGTAAGTATATTGAGTCTAATTAAATCTGGCACAGGTTTGGCGACTTGGCTTGATGACCGGTTAGAGTAGCATTTGCTAGTGATACCCTTTGAATTTCAACATGTTTCTATTTCTAACTCCAAGAGATGATGATAACCAGCCGCCGTTTAATTCTAAGACGGGTTTTTTCTCTCTGGCATTGGGGGTTAGTGCTGAGCTGAGTTGCGTTAGTTAATATAATAAATTTACTGACCCATTCACGGTCACGTCATTTGGAATGATTTGACATAATTTCCTTGAGAGAGGAAACAAGCAAACCTCACTGCGGGGTACAAAGAACCGAAAGCCATGCCACTTACCAAGCCTCTACCCACTTAGACACCATCGTTGCATGTGTCGGTCACTCGAAAGCCCGTCCCCCTTCATCAATAAGACGAGATTCCGTTATGATTCCGACCTCACCGCAACATTATCTTGGTTTGTGTTCTTTTTCTTAGCCCTTCAACCCAACCAACTGTCCACGTCAGTAAGGCGCTACCCAGCCAGAGTACTTGGCGCACAAACCCGTCACGATCCAGCTAATTTTCCCTACACCTACAATCGAATATGGCTTAGAGATCAAATCTTTGATTGCTATATTTTATTTTCTTGGTTGCGTTGCTTGTATGAATCATGGCGACATTGCTAGTAAAGGTCCCCATCTACGTGAAGAACCAGAGGTAAATTGTTCACTTCAAGAATGGTTGGTTGGTTATCGTAGCATGCGACGATCATAATCGGGTAATGGAGCCTGAACATGTGGCACGCGAATGGCCTATCCATAGCATAGTCACTAAAGTGGTGGTGATATATCCACACCTGACTCACCGTTAGCATGATGTGCCGACTTTCCTATATAGTTGATGTCTCGCCCGACGAGATGGTGAGCCAAATCATACCTTTACACTTACACTCTACCAACAATCAAGCATATCAAGCAACCAGACCGATTTTCGTCCATTCCAATATTATGATATTCATCTCTTAGCTTTGCACGCGCAGTATCTCCAAGTGTCAACAACTATTAGATAGGAACTATGGCGTCAAGTTCCCTGACAATCTCCCAGAGAGTCAACCTGCCGATTCCCCCCTTCTACGAGCTGGCAAACCTTCAGAACTAGCGGGCTAAAGTGGAGTTTCCCGAATCCCATCAGCATAGAGCACTTCTCCTCCCAAAGTTGAAGATGTTACTATGCAACCTATCTCCCGTGATCTCGCGTGCTATCAAGGAAAATAGCCGAGGAAGACATCCTTCGCCTCAGGATAAAGGGATTACAAGCTTATCGAGAAGCTACTTGAACGCGGAGTCTCCATCGGCGGACTCTAAACCTGTCTACCTTCATCAAGCTAGTGACTATTCAAGCATGGAGTGCCATCCACGAATCCAAAGGAGCAAGGTGGGGTCGAGGAGGAGCCGTATTATAGCGAGAATTGAGAGATGCCGACTCATCCAGCGCTTCTTCAGGAGGACGCCACATAAGGAAGAAGGTCTTATTGACGCGCACCGACCGACCTGGCAGTGTAAGCTGATGACACCTAGCTCCTGCGTGAGCTGCCTCGAAAGCATGCCAGCCGATGAGCTGGTGAGCTTGCCTTGTCAGCATAAGTATTGCAGCACGTGTATCAGGCAAATGGTGGCCACGAACATGGCAGACGAGCAATTATTCCCCCCGAGATGTTGTTCACGGAAGATTCCGTCAGAGACCATCATCCATTTACTATCACCAAAGGAAAGAGAGTCATTTGTCTCTAAAACAACCGAGTATGCGACGCCTGTTGCAGATCGCTGGTACTGTCCTGCACCAACATGCGGGAAGTGGATACCTCCAACGGCTGTGAAGGCTGAGAAATCTCAGACACAAACATGCCCGTATTGTAGCACGAGGATTTGCTCAAGGTGTCGCGGCGTGTCCCACAGGTCAGGAGATTGCTCTTCTGATGCAGGTCTGTCGGCATTCCTTGAAGTGGCTCGGCTTCAGCGATGGCAGAGGTGTTTTAATTGTGGTGCGGTGGTGGAACTGATGTTCGGCTGTGATCACATTACATGCAGATGCAGCGCACAGTTCTGGTAAGAGGAGCCCTGTGTATAAGTTTGATGTGACCAATGCTAACGATGCTCAGCTATAAATGTGGTAAACCGTGGTCTTCGTGCGTTTGTGTCACACCCGCAGAGAGACCTGTAGATTTTTTCGCGTTTGTGATTGATGGCAATGCGCTGAATCGAGACGAAGAAGCCGGTCTTACAGCCGTTCTTGCTGCCATGCTGTGTCATGAAAGAGAAGCAGAAGATCCCTTAACTGATAAAGGGAATAAGGGAACTCAACGTTGTCGGGCCGAAGGATGTTGGGTTCGAGGCAGGAATCTCGAAAGTTGATCTAGGGATCTAGGGGTACCACAATAGACCGCTCCTAGGAGAGTTTATCCTTCACAATGACATTATCAAATCCACGTACCACCGTTTACTCCAATAGGTGCAACTGTAAGCCTATAGAATGTTGATACAGCGATCTATTTTTATAGCAGTGTAACAGGGATATCAAAACGTAACTAGTGAGCATGAATCAAACACTCAATCAGTATTCGTAGAAGCCCTTTCCGGTTTTCTTGCCCATCCAACCGGCATCAACCATTCTCTTCAAAAGCCCGGATGGCCGGTATTTGCTGTCTCCAGTCTCCTGATGCAAAACGTTCATGATAGCCAAGCAGGTGTCAAGCCCAATGAAATCGGCCAAAGTCAAAGGTCCCATAGGAACATTAGTTCCATTCTTCATGATATTGTCAATATCCTCGCGGGCACCGACTCCAGTCTCAAGACAGATGATTGCCTCGTTAATGTAAGGCATAAGTATACGGTTAGCAAGGAAACCGGGCGAGTCAGCGGAGACAGAAGCAATTTTGCCCATACGCTGCACAAACGCAATAGCGGTATCGAGTGTCTCTTTAGACGTCTGCAAACCAGAGATAATCTCGACGCCCTTCTGTATAGGAACTGGGTTCATGAAGTGCGTCGAGATCACTCGAGAAGGAGCTTGAAGGTCTGTCGGATTAGTCGTCGTCGCAGCAGCAATCTTAGTAATTGAGATCGACGAGGTGTTGGTCGCAAGAATGGCATGCTTGGGTGCAATTTGAGCAAGTTGTTTGAAAATAGAGCTTTTGAGATCGGGTATTTCTGGAACAGCCTCGATAACAAAGTCCACGGATGAAAGGTCGTCCATCTTCAGGCTAGTTGTGATGCGAGAGCGGACAGTATCGGCTACCTCTCGGGTAATACGTTCTTTGGAAACATCTTTATCAAGGAGTTTATCTGTAATAGTAGTCTCATTAGTATAAAAAGCTACCTAAAGCGACAATTCCAGCGACGGAAGAAGGGAATCGGTGGTGAGCGTAGCCCCGTACATACCGGCGAATTTGAGGCCCTTATCAAGAGATGCTTGGGAGCTGTCAATTAAAGTAACAGGAACTTGAGCCTTCTGCGCAGCAACAAGAGCAATTCCCAAGCCCTATTGTCTATGAGATGAGCTCGAAGACGCTGTGGCGTGACTTCATGTTCTACGTACCATTTGACCTGCCCCAATCACTCCTAATGACTTAACCTCGGCAGCATAAGCCGCAGAGGAACTGCTGAATGCGCGGGAGGCAATTGAAGGGCCATTGCAGTAGAGAGGCCGGAGGGATGATGACAGCATTATTGCGGTATTGAAAGAACTGAGTCCCTTATTTAAAATTGTGATGCTGGGAAGAAAGACGGACAAGACGAGAACAACAACGGCAACGACTGATATACTTCTAGTGAAGTGCAGCCGATATCCTTCCGTGGGACTCATGTGATCCGACGTCATCGGTTATCCTCGGCAGTAAGGAACATCCATTCCTCCGATATCCGAAGACCTGAGACGCGAAAACGCGTGAACCGACGCGTTACCATTGGTCCCCTGCAGTGCGCCCAAAAGCCATTCTCATGATCAACCTCGGCGATGGTGAGAGAAGGTGAGGGCGACGACCGCAAGCACAACTGGCCACCATGAACGACGAAGCTGTGGCTTTCGGTCAGGCTGTTCAAGTTGTAGACCCTGATGTCCGCGCACATGTTTATAGTCTAGTCACTGCCGTGAGGATAGCTCCTTCATTGAACACTGTATTCGAAGAGATCTAATTAATTTACAGTTAGGCGGATTCAACGGTGAAGATGCGGATCGATACGTACTCGGAGACGATGCACTGGCTTGCTTGCGTGACATTAGACGCTGGCTGAAATTGTACGACGAGAAGTATCACCGCATGGATGTTGCTCGGTGCCTTGGAGAAGCGAATTTGGTCAACGGGGACCTGCTACCGATCTTTTCGCTATGGTGGAGTACTGGTCAAAAGAGTAAATATATGTCCAGGATCGCATTAGCGTGCTGTAAGTATAGGACCTTGCTGTGAGCTTAGACCATTATATTAATGATATGAAGTGGAATTGCTAGTTCCGTTGACCTGGCCATTGGAAGTCCACGGCGAGATGACTGTCAACCATCACCGACATTTTCCATACTTGCAGCACGCTCAAGTCTCTTATAAACGAGGTCTTCTGAGCCGTGGCAATATTAATTTCCTTCGAACCATTATTCGAATTGGCCTTCCTAGCATGGCTGTTCCACGGTCCGAACGAACAACAAGGGACGACGGTATTCTCAAACTTATGCTCTATTTATTACGGAATATCGTAGTGATCACCCCAAATGCTCGTCTTGCGACGGATGGCGATGAGGAGGAGACTTCTAGATCTGCGACTATCAATGCCTTTCAAGCTCAAGACGTATTTGCCCTCATTCTTACTATGTGTTCCAACGTTGGTGATGACTTCAATATGCAAGACGTGGTCCTTCTCGAGATACTGTTCCACCTGGTGAAGGGTGTCAATGTCGAGAAACTATTCATGGATGATGCCCAGCGAAGCGCAAAACACACAGATGAGCTAGATACCCTGCTGAAGCAGGAGTCATCTCTGCGGCGGGAGTACGCCAAAAATGCACCCACGCGACACGGACGGTTCGGAACCATGATTTGGGTCAAACGTGACGATGCTAAGGTTTCTACTGTCTCAGGACAAGACGTTCTCAAAGATAGTCAGGCAACGCTCCAGAAAATGGATGAAAGCAAGAAGTGGAACAGGCCCCAACCACGCAAAACTCATGAAGACTCGGTTCTCAACAATGACTTTAGCACGCCAGCCCACCTTAACTCCACCGCATCAAGAAACCTGCGGAAGTTTGTTGAAGAATTCCTCGACTCTGGATTCAACCCTTTATTCACCCATGTTCGGAAAGCCTTGGAACGAGAAGCCGACCGTGTCGTACCCATCAATTCTCGTCAATTCTTCTACACCGTCGCCTGGTTTCTGGATGCTGAACGCGCGCGGCGTGTGCGCCAGCAGGAGATGCAGTTACAGAATGGAAAATCCATAAAAGAGTTGGAACGGGATGGGTTTGGCCTTGTCGCTAGTGTACTTGACCAAGAAACTCTGGTATTCCTGAACCGATCTATGCAAAATAGTTTCGACCAAAAAGACTGGGAAGATCTAAATGCGGAAATGCGCTGCTTCACTCAAATCTTGCTAACTGTGCAAGAAATGACACAGTCTCTGCTTGAGGAGGACCAGGAAATCGCTGAGAACATTCAGAATCGGATATTCTACGAAGAAACAACTCATGACCGTGTGCTTGCTATTATGCGTGAGTACAAAGGCCAAGGATTTGGTTATCTGGATGCATGCACAGAGCTTTCGCATGTTTTCTTGCGTATGCTGGAGCGATACTCCAAGGAGAATGTCGACATGCAAGTGCGATCTCGGCGGCGATCTCGGCGCAAAAACATAGAAGCTCAAGGAGCTGCACCCGAAGATAACAACGAAGAGCATGCATCCGATGATGAGGACATAATGGAGGCAGAACGAATCTGTAGGGAGCGTAAGTTCGACTTCAAGCGCTTTGCTGCCAAGTTTTGCAACCAAAAGTGTGTTGACACTTTCGTTGCTTTCACGAAGTTCTTTAGGGAACTTAATTCGAATCAGCTAAAACGTGCCCATCGCTATTTCTATAGGGTCGCCTTCAAACAAGAGATGAGCGTCTTGTTGTTCCGCGTTGATATACTCAACCTTTTTTACACAATGATTAAAGGACCTGGCGCCATGGATTCAAGCAAACCAATCTTCAAGGAGTGGGAAGAGCTGGTCCGACAGGTCATTAGACGAATGATAAAAAAGATTGACCAGCGTCCCGCCCTTATTGCCGAGTTGCTCTTCAGCAAAATGAACTCGACATTATTCTACCTGGAATATGGCCATGAGAGACAAACCCTACCCTCGGTGAGAAGGGCGCCAGCTGAGCTTGAGGTCAATCCCAGTGAAGCAACAACGCAAGAGGAAAAGATAAACGTTGTAATTGGTGCACTAGTCATGGATGGGCAGGCCGATTTGGTTGCATGGGTTAGCAATGTGTTAGGCACGGCGGCGGAAGAAAGAGAGTCATGGGAAGCCCATGATGAGGCTCAGAGAGACGAGGCTCAGAGAGCACCAAGAGCTCCTAACCCGATGATTGGTATGTAAAACAGACCTGTTCTTGACGCTCGATGTTCTAACTTATACAAGCCGTCCAACCTCATGACGATGCATGTAAACAGGCGATGTACCTCAACGCTAAGCTGCGTCTCCTTATGACTTTAGTAGGATTTGAGCGACTGGGAATGGAAGATGTTGTCGGAGCTTCCTGGGTTGTGCCGTCGTCGCAGGGGTCAAAAGATCTTCAAGGCATTAAATCGACAATCGATAAATGTCTTGAAGATCCATACACAGGAGACATTGAGCATGATCCTCGGCAGATGCTTCGACGCAAATACAAACCAGATGATAAGGAGCGCAATCGCCAAAGTACACTTAATGTTGACTTCGGATCTGAGTCAGAGGGTGAAGATGTCCCGGATGGGCCACTTTTCCCGCCAAACCCCCGGTCGAAAGCGAACGAGCTCAATGATTTGAAGAAGCGGCGCAAGAATCGCGACGGAGCTGATGAGCGCGAGCCGATAGACGAGGGTACTCTGGAAGCGCGTCGCAAGGCGCGCCAGGAGAACACCCAAGCCCGTCTAGCCAAGATCAAGAGTGAACTGTTCGTTCATGCCAGCGATGACGAATCCGACGAGGAGGCCGACAAGGAGTTCTTTGATCTCGAGGAGAAAAGGCGAAAAGAGCAAGCTGCGCGAGTCAGAAAGGCATTGCTTACTGGCGTTGTAGATGAGATTGGCCGTAAAGCGAACAAAAAGAGCGAACGCAAGCGACTAAGCAACCCTGGGAATTCTGACTCGCGAAGTAAACGGCAACGGCACGGCCAAACAACAGAAGCACTCGACGAAGATGATGACATTACTATGGGTGGTAGTGGTGCTGTTGCTCGCTCGCCTGGCCATTCGACTGAAGACGATGAAGATACTCCTGCTACGTCAGATGAAAGCGATGAGTTTGATTTCGACGACAATCTAGCCTTCCGTCGAGATCGGAATCTAGACAAGGAGCCAGAACTACCTAGTCACGAGGAAGACATGCCACCAAGCGATACGCCTGAGCCAAAAGACAATGACGAGAGCGCCCCGGTGGCTACATTGGCTCGAAGGCGGTTGCGCGCGGGGTTTGTGATTGATAGCGACTCTGAATAAGCTCTTTTGATTTGTCTCTATCCTTTTGAGGTACTATTGCCCTGTAATGACCTAATGATGCTTGGCGTTTTGGAGATAGATCTGGGAATGTATATGGCATGCAAAACTTGTGATAGTACACTACTACCGCGCAGACAGAGCAACCCTTTGGATGGATTATGAAAGTGGAAGCATGCATAAGTCGATGTTAATGACTATAAGAATTCGAGAGACAATCCATGCCCTTCACACTGGTTTATTGCTTTTTCCCGGTGTCCTCTAACCCATGCCCTAGCAACCGCTTACATAGAGTCATGTTGCTTCTTTCTCCCTTTCCACTATACGTTGAGTTCCGCTCCATCAAAACAATGGCTTTTACTTATAACATAAAGAAGGGTTTGTTTTCCTCTAACTCATAGCAGTCCTTGGCCCACATCTAACCTGCTACCTACCCCTCACCCTCCATTTCGACACCCTCCCGAAGCATACTGAAACAACTATGACGGAAAAGCCAGACCGCAAGTCGTCCCTGATGGGCTCTCTACAGATTCTCAGGAGCACATTCGGTGTGCGACACGAACAATGGGAACTCGAGGATAACAAAGACATACCTAATGAGAGCAACACCCACAGAGAAGCACGTAGGAGCAATCCGCTTCCACCCCTCACTACCAGCGTCTGCCATTCATCCCAATGGCAACCTATCGTCCATACCTGCCGCCAAACTTTCATGCCGCTATCTGAAAAAACCTCATCGACATGCAGCAACTCCAACAACAACCCAAGAGGCCTTGACAGCAGTAGTAGTAAGTTGCAGGAGCAGGAGTCCAACTTGCGGGCCCAGCATAAAGCCTCATCCTCCCAATGTCAGACAAGCCTACGGTACTCTTCGACCCAATTATTTTCAAGAATTCCGACACCTGCAAAATCCCCGGTAGGGGATCTGTTCTCCCATGAAGTATATCGAAAAGAAGGCAGAAGAAGAAGTGTGCTACCTTCCTTGGGGAGACAATGTGTGGACGTGGAGAAAGACGCGGACACCGTTTACAAAGCGAATCTGGATAACGAAGATGAAAGGAAAGATTTCATCCGCCGTAAGGATACACAGAGACTCAGTTCTGAAAGAAACATGCTCGACACCGAGGCGACTTCAAATCGTAGCCTTCAGATCCGAACTCACCACCAGAGAAGCAGCGATGGTCAAAGAGCTATAACAGGATTATCCTCAGGGTTATTTTCTAACAGCATACATGCAGCAAAATATACACCTGTCCCTTGTGTCACTGTACTAAGGACCGGCCGTCCACGCAACTTAGTAGCATCTCCTGACGCCAGAAGTCGACCGGCCACTCGACTGTTCGATCCTATATCAGCACTCATATCACGGCTTGAGACAAGATCACAGAGGAATGATTGCACCAAGAATGGCCACCTTCGTGCCAGTAACCCAATTTCTGGGTCTGCCAAGGTGCCACCTTTGAGGAAAGAGCGAGTTGAATACCACACTGTTCCCAAGGGAAAGTTGCCAACACACCATCCGTTGTTGGAGGATTTCCAACCTGCGAACTCAAAAGTGATGGACAGCACACTCCAAAAAAGTGACAAAATGGAATACGTAAAAAAGAGTCTTCGGTGGACGAACGGCTTCGAGAATCTGAAGCTTGAAACCAGAACAAAAACCGATTCATTTTCACCAGCTAGCCGTCCTAAGGCCCTGAGCCGAAGTGCTACAAGGCTAAGCCCCCTACCAGACACAGGAAATCCACGGCATAGGGATCAAATTGGGCGAATGGTATTGTCGAGGAATCACCCCAATGGATTCCGTTCGAAGTTGAAGAAGCCAGGGCTAACAATCCATGCCGACTGTGTTTCGCAGGTCAGTGAATCCCAGCCTCAACAGTACTGGCTCGGTAGATTCGTCACCCTCGTCAATGCTTTCCACTATGAGGACTCCTTCAATGAGCCGGACATAGCAACGGGATTCGGCATGTTGTCAAGTTATTCTCGTCCGTTGGGGCATCCGGATTCAAGCGAGGCGGATTACCGGATCAAACGGGCCTTCATGGTTCTCGAAAATGTTTGTATGAACGATGAAGCGAGCGCGAGTCTACGGAGGTTCCGATACGAATACATTAACAAATTTGGTGATGGATGGATGGTATGATGCTCTGTTGTTGGCACACCGAAAGGACGGTGGTCGCAGGCATTGACATGGGTCCCCACCATGTACGGAACGGATCGAGGCGCCCATAGTCGAGAATGTCTATCTGCATTCCCTGGTGAAGGCTTGTCGCTTCTTCGTCAGTACTATGAAACCTGTTCTGCTGGCATTCAATGAATACAGCCTGGCTAGAGATATTCTGGCTGTAGTACTATGGACGGCCCCAGACTTACTAGGACGCTGAGTGGACCCACTTGTTCACTATCTAGGAGCTGGGAGGTCTTGTTTATGGTATAGGGGGAAAAGACCTCGAATTGTTTAGGGAAAGGGAGTTACAGATTGATAAAAGTACAGTTGTAATGCTCCTGGAAGCTCGACAGGGTCTTTATTAGAATGAATTACCACATATACAACATATGTGATGAGAACCCCGGTATAACATGCTAAATTCAATCGTTTTCGTAGAGTTCCCATTAACGCCAGATTTGCACCAAACCACTTTGCGCCTCTTTAAAACATCATCTGTCCAGGATGCTAATGCCAATCATGCCCCAATCCGTGTTTTGTACTAATCTATTTCCTACTCCTCAAGAATGCTGCAACTTGCTCATGCCTTGTTACAAAGAACATCCGCTTTCGATCTGATTTCCAGACGAGAACTCCGATCTCTTCAGCGTACCGACATGGAGCCTCGTATTCTGCCAAACTAACGAAGTCCTTGAACAAAAACCCAGGGGTTGCTTTGACGCGATCTCGTTCCAGTTGCCAAAGCCGAATCTGATCAGTGACCGTGGGGGGCAGAACGGATGGGGGTATTCCAGCCTGGTTGGACGTAGACCGGGAGACATTGTGTTTGCGCATCTGAGGGTGAGCGTGGGTAGCCAGATACGAGATGATTTGGTCGGCAGTGATACCCATCTCTATGGCGCGGCGTACCGACTGGCGGGTAATTTTTCCAGTGATTAGGTTGGGAAAGCGATACTTAAGTGTAGTAAAAAGTGCAATAAGAGAGATCTGTAGCGGCGAAGAGGTATATGCATACAGTCGGTAGTTTGTTTCGACGATGATGAATCCAGATCCCGCCTTGTTTGAGCCTGTGCCAGAGGGGCCGGAGAGGGAGCCTGAAACGGGGTTGCTCAAAGCGCTGGAGTCGGAGGTAAGAGTAGTGGCGAGGCGAGTGGGATAGAAATAACTGGCATCCGGGGAATCTTGGTAGACAATGCCAAAATCCGCCAGATCCGTCAGAGTACGGAGTTGGTTAGAAGTCAGATGCTTCTTATCGTATGATTTTCCAAGCTCCAAGCTGCTCAGCAAGAAAACGAACGAGAGGACCTCCACACTGCTCATTCCGATGGCGTCCGCGCTTTCAACATAGAGCATAAGGATGTGCCAAACTTGGGTGCTGACATCCTGTAGAACAAACGCGAATCCATCTTGCGTGATCTCCACACGACGATCTCGAATTTCGACAAGGTGCCCAGCCTGCAAAAGTTGCTTCACACCTTTGCTGAGGTTGACATCGCGCTGGATACCAAGTCCACTAGTTCCAACCATGTATCCCAATACCCCCTCCCACTGACGCCGGGCGTATTCGTCCAGTTCAGCTATGGAAATGGCTGCTCCATCTGATATATGCGAGAGTACGCCAAACGACTGCGTCTTTTCAGCGCCTGTCAGAGCTTGGCGGAGCGATGAGGCAAACGGATCGGTGACTTTGTACGCGCGAACATTGTCTGCGATCACGGTATTGGATAGAATATGGAGTCGACCCAGGATTGACAATGCATTATCTCGCTCCCTTCAAACGATAGAACGCGTCAGCCATCCAATCCGCAAATCTGAGGGTTTGACGGGTTTTAAAGCCACCACTCACTTCAAGCTTTCTGCTTTGACCCAGGCCTCCAGATCTGTTGCTGGCAGAGGGTCTTTGAGATATAGGAGTGCCATGACGAAACATTTTGCTAGATTATCCGTTATTTCCCATTACCATAAGGTATTTCAAGAGTAGAAGCGAGTGCGTACCTAGGTCAGGCAACATGCGCCTGAAGATCGCGAGGGCGGTGGATGGCTGCTGGTAGAGCTTGTAGAAAGTAGTCCCAGGCAAGCTTTCTAGATAATCAAATGGACGGGAGGGAGCGGCGGCCATGGCCATATTGCCTGCGGGTAAAATAAAAGCTGTCACCTCAGCAACATGATGTGAGCCGCAAAGGTCGGCTGAGGCGTGATATATGAGAGATTAATGTTGATGGGAATGGATAAGATTTGCTCCGGTGACCAAAGCGGCTTCGAAGCGCAGTCCGAAGTGATCATCACACGGGACTTGTTTGTATAATGAACTACTATATTCTTGTCTCCGCAACCTTCTCCTTTCTTTTTCGCCTATAGCTTCCACGATAAAATGACAGCTTTGCGGTTCGTTAGATCGGTAAGTATCTACGACTACTATTGCTTCATTCCTTCAACTGATGTTTTTGTTCCTCCCCCGAAAGGTTTGGGAGTCCTTTCGGGCTACATCGGGCCTGGAGCCTCGGTAAGTGACAGAATCCATGGCTATGAAGGGATTTGTCACTGAAATTTTGATCGCTGTGAAAGACTATTGGATAATGTAAGGTCTATCATACCTCAACCGCCTATCTCTATAAGCCACAGTGACATCAATTATGATGAAGAATGATAATGGAATTATTTATTCCCTTGGCTTTCGTAAACATTGACCACAAGCCAGGGTTGTACTAACGGTTCCAGCTTCGTGTGACTGCCGCAAAGCCTGGTCTGGTGAACTTTGAGCTAGATATACAGAAAGAGCATACGGTAAGGGTTCAATCTAGAATATGCCGACCCAATCGACTAACCTTCAGGACAGAATCGTCTGAACATTCTCCATGGTGGTACTATTGCTAGTATGGGTATGCAAGCATGACCACATATTATTCCTGTCTCATCCTGGCCATCCCACTTACAAGCTTGCATTGATATTGCAGTGGATCTTGGTGGTTCTCTAGCTGTCGCTTCCCGTGGCCTGTTTGCTACGGGAGTGTCGACCGATCTCAATGGTAAAGCTCCATCCCAAGCCAATCTTTGAGATGGATATCCAACGTGCAGGATGAGTCTCTGACCGTCTATTTAGTGACGTATCTAAGCTCTGGAGGTAAAGTAGGAGATAAAATTTTGGCCGTATGTTATTACAGACCACATGCTTGACAATTGGCAGGCCCAACATTTAGCTGCTGGACCTGTGCATGCTAATATCGCTACAGGAAGCTAGCTGTGATAAATGTAGGTTCCCCGGCTATCAATACATCAACCCAATCATGCGGGTCGTATAGATACCTTTATAGTCGCCTTTCCCTTTTTCTTTTTCTTTTTCTTTTTCTCAGTCACTAAATATAATGCCTAACTCATTTAACAGTCGGCAAAACGCTCGCATATACATCTATCAAATTCATCAACAGCAAAGGCGAAATTGTTGCCAGAGGAAGTCACACCAAGTATGTATCCTTTACGCGATGCAACCATATCAGAGGATACGATCTGTGCTAATCCTCCAATAGATATATTGCACTTGCCTGGAAGGACCCGCAGAACATCGTCGAGGAGCTTGGCGGGCGTTAGAGTGTTATATTTTGAGACTAAACATCCGTCATTCACCTATATATATTTGGACCCTACTAGTGACGCAAGCGTTGTTATATAGAGGTAGTATACAACACTAGTGGTTGATCTTCTTGCAACCTACGAGTTCTTCAATCATCTCGCATATATTAAAATAGCCGTGGGGCTTTCTGCAAGCTATCCATAGAACGGGAGCGTTATCAGATACACATTGCAAGACCATTTCACTGTAGTATGCTGCCAATAAAAATCAGAACTCGAACAGTCATTTCCTAACCTATTCGATTTTGAGATTCCGCCATTTTTATTCTTATACCAACAATGATGATAGCACGAAGACAGACGTGATACAACGTCACCATCATTGAGCATTCTACAACTATGCCGAACCCATGGTCTCACGATCCTAAATCCTATGACCCTGTATACAAGACCAAAAGAACTTGTATTAATTGAACTGTAAGAGATCTAAGCCCCGGTGAAGACGTGCTCGTGTAGAGGGTCTTCATCTGCTTCTTCACCTGCACCAAGCATGACCTCGTCCTCATCCACTAGACCCTCTTCACCATTGGGCATTGTGTCCTCAACCATGATATCTTGCTCTCCTATTGCCTTGAGCTTAGCCTGGGTCATTTCAAACACGTACTGGCCAAGGTGTTCCACTCCTTCCATGGGCGTGCCTTGAATCTCGTCGTCCAGCGATCGCGTGGCTGGGAACATTTCGCCTGGAGCAAGCATGAGCTTATCAGGGCGTTGGAATAATAGGTCAAATGCTGGCTTAAGCTCGTAGCACGACTCAAATACCTCGCGCCGACCGAGTATGTAGAGGCCCAAACGGGCACGAGAAAGTGCAACCGTTAGACGACGGACATCACGTAAGTAACCAACCGTACGAGTTCGTGTGAGCGAGAGAATTACATCTGTAGCTCTAAGTTAGTAAAGGGCGTCGTAAACAAATTCACGAAGAGATGAATAGATTCGACTTACAGTCGTTTTGTTCGCCCTGATACTTGTCCACGGTGGTCACGATTTTGGGCATTCCGAACAAGGCATTCTTGGCGCATCGGTGGTTCAAGACATCCTTTATCAGCGCTGTTTGTCCCGCATAGGTGGCAAGGATGGATATCTTCGACGCTGGGTAGCCAAGTAACCGCATGTATTGGTAGAGGGCTACGGCATATTCTGCTTCACCCAGATTTTGAATGAAATGAGGAGTGGGTTCCCGTTCACCTGCACCCTGGTAATCAGGAACGTTGATGAATTGGTAATCGAACTGGAACCCAGCATTCGCCTGCTTGAACTCATCGGCTGTCTCGACGACTGATAAATCTCCCAGTTGCTTGTAACGCCAACGAAATAGTTCTGCGATGCTACGCCTCGAACGACCCTGCTGATCAAGTGTAATTACAGGGACACCCAGTCTTACCAGCCGAAGGAAAAGACTCTGTTCAAAATGTGCGTACTGCCGGAATGCAAGGTTTTGGATGATTGGGGAATTTTGGAGGTGATCGCCGCAGAGTACCACGCGCTTCAATGGGAGCTGGCCACCCTTCATTGTTTGCAAGGCGGAGGGAATGAAGCTTTCGATCTCCGTGATCTGCGCGGCTTCTTCCATCACAACATTGTCATAGTGAAAGCCAAGGTCAGCAATCTCCTGGCGGCGCATTGCTGCATGTGTGGAGGTCATTGCAATGATCCTGGCCTCCTTCACCAGGAGGTAATTGGCCTTATCTTTCGGTTGCCGCAAGATCTCAAACGGCCGGATATCTTCTAGCTCTGAGAATATCTTCTCGATGTGCCGCTGGCAACCTTCTGCTACATCTAGCACTGCTTCCTTAGGACTCGAAGAGTCGAATACGGGTTGTGGAGCATTGGAAAAGTAAGCATGGAATGGGAAAGCTGCAATGATATCTTCAAGAGAGATATTTTCGTTGCGGGCCTGGTCCCAAAACTTTGCCCATGCAGGCTGGATGTATACAGTGTTGAAGTATCCGGCGGTCTCACAGGAGTTTCCATGGGCGCCCTGTGCTCCAATTGATGATGCTAACCGTGTAACTTCAGAGAGGTAATAGTTACGGTTGTCGAGGAAAGATTCAACCCGGCCATATTTGCTATAACTTGACTCGGTCTCTAACTCTTCTTCACCGTGGCCAAGGCGTAAAAGGTGGCGTTCATCGATATCCAGTGCAACTATCTTTTGGAAAAGTTGGTTTAACGCCTGGTTGCTGTGCGCAACCAAAAGCGTGCGCTCATTGGGGAAATCATGGTAAATGTTATTAATTATTTGCGTTGCAACATCCGTCTTTCCGGTTCCGGGAGGTCCGACAATAATAGTCAACCCAGGTTGTGTCCCAGATGCGATAGCTTCCACCTGAGTTGGTGTGAACCGGACAGAGTTTAGTTTGGGCGCATCGACAGGGTAAGGCCCTGGATTAGGCGGCTTATATGTTGAAACGCGAAGTGAGTAGGACGATTTGTCCTTCTCGGCTTGATCTCTCCGCCGCTTCTTGGAGGCATTCGTCGAAGGTGATTTTTGGGAATCTTCAACATATTCAAGCATATATGGGGGTCCAAAGCTTGATGTCTCCTCGCCAGAAGGCTCAATTGTTGTCCCCGGGAAGCTCTCTACCAGATGCTGCCAGTCCAAGAACGTATCGCGAAAATCGACTGACTTGAGTCTGTTCGGCAATTCGGTGTAACGGGCCCCTGCAGGGTCCCCATAACCCAAAAAGATGTCCTGCAGCCAAGAAGGAAGAGTAATGTCGGAGACAATGAGCCTTTGCATAGTCTCCAGTATAGACTTGAAATTGTTTTCCCTTCCCTTTCTCCTTGCGACTACATTGACCAACGGATAGATATCTGGCTTTCCTTGCATGCTGCGATCTTTATCCACTTTGAAGGCATCGGGGTCAAGGTTAACCAAAAGTCTCCTTATACGTGGCCTCGGTCGATGGCCATTGGTCTGCCCCGAGACGGCTTCGCGCAATGGACGGCCATTTTCATCAAGTACCTGCACAATTTCCGCTGTCCTGAGGTGCGTTAGGCTGGGCCTATCAATTGGGGTGGGATCCTGAAACGCCAATTTGTTTGCAGCGCCAGGCTGCACAGCTAAAAGGAAAACGACGTCGTCGGGGCGGAGCGACTCCCATTCCATTCGGACGTGGTCTGCCAGCCTGCCAACCTCGATCACGATTTCAGCTCGCACAAAAGCTGGGTTGGTGAAGCCAACCTTCGGAGGCGCAACCTCGATGATAGCAGGCTTCGAAATAGGGATAGCCATCCGGGAAAACCCATCAAAAGTCAGACTTTTGCCGTCTCGGCTGACTCGGGGCTGCATACGCTTGACAATCGTTTCCATATCTTTGCGAATCTGGAAGAAGGCTTCAGATCGATACAAGAGAAACGAGCGCCATAGAAAATCCCCCAGGCTCAAGTATTGGAGGTTCAATTTTGGAATTGCAAGTGGCCTAGATCCGTCATAGGTTTCATTCCGCAGCAAAGCTGGGTCGTAAAGGTTTTCTTCTGTCGGAACAACACTTAGGCGCGATACAACATCCTGGAATGGTGCCTTGCGCTCGTAAAAGGACAAGAGTATTTCAAGATACAGATGGCGATCGGGCGTGATTTGACATTGCTTTGGGTAGTCTGTCCGAAATCCCAGGTGTGAACAAAGGCTTCGGAGCTCAGAGTCATCTAAGGAAGATAGCTGCCCTTCCAGCTCCGGACGTTGCTCAATTGAACCATAGTTCGACAAAGCTAGAATCATCAATTTGTCCTTAAAATATTTCATGGAAGTTCGCTGCAAGTGGGCTAGCTCCTGGCAGTGAGTATCATACACTGCCTGAGGTGACATACTCTCTCCTGTATAATCGTCAATTGAAAATGTAGCGAAATGTTTTAATAGATTATAAAAGTCACGGAATAGCGCATTTTCCGAATAACGGTAGAGCTCCGATAAACGAATTACCGGTAGGATATTGAGGTCTTTCAGCAACGTGTTGACATATCGTCGCGTGGGAAGTTGACTTTCTAAGTCCACTAGAAATTCAAGAAACCTCTCACAGTAACGCAGGTTATCCACCTGGTCTTTGTCGGCGCCGTTCAATCTCTGAAGAAAATCGAGAAGCATTGTGTAGAGCCATGACCGGTCAAACCTCATCTTCGCTTTGACCGCTTCGTCTGCTGCGTCATATCGCTTCGCGGCAGCTCTCCATGCTTTCTTCAACGTTGGGCCCTTTCCGAGCACCTGTTCTCGTGCATCGTCACTCGAGAGATTGTGCCAAATTGATATCGAAACCAGAGGTGCACATTCCTTTCGTATCAAAACATTCTCGAGGGATTGAAAAGAGCTAATAATGAAGGATACGATGGACAGGCGCGACGATGTAAGAAGGGACTGGTCGATACTCATGGAGAGAACTCGATGGAAAAGGTTGGAAAAGTCATCCGGTCGGTCAGAGAAGATGTCTGGATGTTCTGTGAATAACTCGCACAGGATTGACAATATGCAGGAGTAAGGTAAACTCACCCCATATTGGTAGATGTTCCCGCTGTTTGACAGTGACGATTAGCGTCAGCAGCAATACATGGTAGTTCGAGGCATCTTCTGTGTAGGTCGGCCAAAGAAACCTAATGGTCGGTTAGTCGAGGCATTACATCACGAAGCGTTCCGAGTGCATGCGCACTTTTCTAAAATATTCAAATTTTCCAACGTTAGAAGAGAGCGAAAGCTGAAATTATCTGCTTCGAGAGGGTCCCATATATCCTTCTTGATGACATCCTGCTTCACTTTCCGGACATTGGATGTCTCGAGCCAGTGAGTTTTGGCTAACTGCACCCACACGCTGTCATCGCGAAAATCTTCAACGGTAGGCCGAGAATCAAGGCCGTGCGCCATTGCCTGACGTGATTGTAGGCCCATTCCTTGACGTTAGGTTTGTATAAAAAAGGACTCCGCGCCCGAGTCGGGTTTATCTGCGCAAGTGGTCCGTTGCGGCGGGATGGGAAAGCTTCTGGCGCGCGGCTAAGGAAGTTGCTTTCAGCGGCTAGAACCCGCAGAGCCGCAGCCATGGCCCCGTGATCCTTTATTGTATCGGAAGCTCCTTACACAGCACAATCTCCACGTCTCCTTTATCTCATCCTTACTTGGAATTGTTGTCCGCAAGGATGGCCGACGAAGATGTTGAATCGATACGCGTCTATAGGAGATTAGTTGATAATCTTCTTATGCGAGCCGAACTAGTCAAACCGGATAAGCAAATCGAACCTCCGTTGACAGAAACACACCTCGGAGAAGCGATCTGGAAAGTCGAAGGCGATGATGAGCAGGTCACAAGTCGGCTCAGCCAGCAGACGCAATTTGCTGCAGTTGAAATTGCATTCAGGGAGAGGTTTTACAGTCTGCTTGTAAGTGGCTTCAATGTTGCAATTGTCTTCCTAGCTATCCATGGAGTTCAGTCATGGCTAATTGGCACTTCATGAAGGCCACTACATTCATAGATGAGCCGTCCTTTATACAAATATGGAATTTGCTCGACATAATCTCAATATTTTCGGACAACGGTTCGTTTGGAATTTGGTCTCGCGGCCTAGATGGTATCCTGACGTGTCCGCAGAACAGTGTGAGCCCGGTCTTATATTTTGGCTGATTGAGGAATTACTTGATAGCCAAACTATTGATGGCTGTCGCAAAGTTTTTGACTATCTCGAGTCTCGGAGAGAACGAAATACTAAAGTAGGTGCAACTCGAAATCCTCTCTAGTGCAACTATTTGACACAGCAGAAGAAACACTTTAAGCAGAAAAGTTTGATCATTCTGAGGTCCTGCAACGAATTGCTGCGGAGGCTTTCGCGAGCCGAAGATACTGTATTTTGTGGACGTGTCTTTATCTTCCTCTTCCAGAGTTTCCCGTTAGGAGACAAGAGCGCCGTCAACCTTCGGGGCGAATATCATACCGAGAATGTCACTACTTACGACGAAATCCCTGAATCCGACAGCATCATGCCAGATGATGCAGATGTGGTAATGTCTGACGAGCAGAGACCGTCAACGACTATTGAAAGCCAACAAGAGAACAACAATACTGAACCGCCGCCCCTCGCAGATTCTCAGGCCCCTGTTCAAGATCAACCGGCAGCCCCGAAAGTCATCATTTCGCAAGATGAAGGTGTTGATGAGAAGGCGAACGATTTGAACAAGCTCTACCCTATGTTCTGGGGCCTCCAGGCGTATTTCTCTGCCCCAACAAGGATATTCGATCCTCAACACTTCACCACATTCAGGACAGGACTTGAGGCTACTCTTTCTGCCTTCAAATCAGTTAACACAGACCTTGAAAGTTCAGGCACGAGCAAGACTTCTGAAGAGCTTCGAAAATCTAACAAACGGAAGAGAACTGCGGACGGCCAAGAAATTGCGAGTAGTTTCAACCCGAAGTATCTGACAAGCAGGGATCTGTTTGACCTCGAGGTAGGTTCCTTGCCTGGCTTTCTTTCGGTAGCTTGTGCTAACTCTTATGTGCAGGTCAATGACACAGCGTTTCGGAGGCATGTTCTAGTTCAGGCGCTTATTCTCCTAGATTTCATGCTCTCACTTACTCCTAAGGCAAAAGCAAAGCTAGCCGAGCTGACTAACAAATCTGTACTCTACGGTTTTGTGTTGAATGAGGACGATGTATGGGACATCCGCCGATACTTAGATTCGTGGACACTGTTAACAGTTGCAGGCTAAATGGGCAGTCAAGATGAGAAAGGCGATAGAGGAGTATTTGCAGGAAGGTGTTGGTGGAAAATTCTACTATCGAATGGTGGACACCGTTTTGTCGAGGGACAAAAATTGGGTTCGTTGGAAAGCCGAAGGTTGTCCATTGATTGAGAGACCTCCTGTTTCCGTATCGGACTACCTCGGTGCTCGTGAGTATGCAACTAAAGTCTACGCCAACAAGCGCCTTCGGTCTTCACCCATGGGTTCGCTAAATTTGAACTTCCTCTCCGAAGGCGAATCACTAGCCGGTCTAAAAAGGCTCAAGGAACCTCAAAGGTAAGGGCACCCACGAATCATTGGAAACCTGATTAGTTGCCAGCTAACAATATCCAAGGTTCACGGTACCTTCCTCCGATTCGTTTATGATGGGTATAATGGACGATGAGTTAGATATGGATACTGCCCAGACAAAGGAGGATAAAGAGAACGCGACACGCGCTAAAGCGAGCAAGACTTGGCGTATATTAAGACTTTCCGCTAAAAGCAAGCTCGCAGCGTTCGACAAGATTGAGGATGGCAAAAATCTAAAGCTGCTTTTTGAGACCCCACAGCCTTCCGAAGGCACTCCCCAGGTTTTTGAAGGCACCCCTCAGGCCCATGAGACAATGACGAAAATGTCGGCCGAGGGCGAGTCTGGTGGTTCGGGGCATGATCATGGGCCTACCAGCTCCGAACAAGGGAATGCTACCGTTGCCACCGAGAAAAGTTCAGCGGATTCGAAGGATGCAGCAGCAGCAGACACATGAAGAACGCCACACATGCGGCCAGAGAACGCATTGCCATGATTGGCTCTCGTTGGCGCCGAAGAACGAACCCTACGACCGTGATGGATGCTGAATTCGATACACCATTTGATGATTTCATGTGCTTGTATGCGTCACTGTCACAACGCTATGCGGGATTCCTGCAGCACCGTAAAATATGAAAGGGACATTTAGTATGCGGACTAAGTTTTCTAAGAAGAGTTGGGGCGTGTTCATTATGACGAGACCTGAAATGGGAGATTACGGCGGGGGAACTTGGCCCTTTTGATTGGCCTCATTGATGACCCTCATCTGGCGTGCAGTTTAGTCCTCAGTGTGGCGACACCCGAAGTTTTCCCCCCGCCCTATTAGATACTCTGCAAGCAGGAGCAAACTCCTAGGAGCTCATGGGGTCCAACAGGGAGGCGACAAAAGAGTAATGAGAGGGGTAAGGACATAGTAGCGGTACCGCTGACCGGAAATTGAAGGTTTCCTGATAATCCACTTCGAGACCCAGGGAGGGGATTAATTCCTCGTAGTCTGAGATGCGAGGATGAATTTGCCAGTGACCACGGTTACTGAGAATGGCTCAGGGAGCACGCCGCTTCTTTGGCAACGCGGACAGATAAGCTACGGACGAGGGTCCGAATGTCTCGGGGATCAACAACTCTAATATTACATGGACGTACCTGCATAATCGTGGATCTCATTGTACTACCTATCTATCTATCCATCCATCCATCTATCTATCTATCTGCTACGTAAGGATCGTATGTATATCACCCGAACACACTGAACGATTTCTTACTCCTTACTTTAAAATGGCCCTTGGCAGCAGCTGTCATGCGAGATTACAGTGAGATTACTGGGTCCAAGGGAATTCGGGTGATCTGATACGCCACGTTTCACCATCCTAACCCGATAGACGCTTGATCCCTCTGTCAACCTAATAGTTAACTTTCGTAAAATTGCCCTAGGTAGAAGGTATGTATGTATTTGCAATCAAAGGAACAACTGCGTATATACATACTTACGGCTCTTTCCTTTGGTGGGGTGGGGAGAGTGCCTACTTCATATCAATATCCGGGTATATCATATCATCTTTCGGTTTGCGCACTTACACTTCTGCCTACGTGGTTGGGGTAATGATTACTACACAGCCGAAAGGTCATGACTCGGCTCCGAACCATGGTGGAAGTGACCTGTATGCCAACTAGATTTTATAATATCTCTCCAAGCGAGAGAGATCCCGGTAAAAAAGTTTAAAGGATAGTTGGGGAAGCAAGGCCTCCACCGAGAATGTTCGCATGTCTTTTCGGCCAGTCGTTCGGTTCCTGTTCTAGAATTGCTGTTTAATTATTTTACTTTTCGTCAGGGGCTCTTCAATCTATTATATTAAGACCGTGCAAACAATAATAAATGAATGTACCTAGTAAATAACATAACAGAGAGCAGCACGTAGGTTCAATACATACCTACCTAGGCACAGTATGTAAAGTACCTAAGTACAGAACCTACGGAGTGTGGATGTATAAGTGCAAAGCTTCTGATTCGTAGATCGAGGATATAGGCAGTTCCTTATTCGCCCTAGAGGCGTAAGTGGTGGTCCAAGGATGGAATGTCAGGGCTAAACGACGTTTCACTATTACCAACCGACCCGCACAGACACCTTTTCCACAATGGTTCCCGCAGGAACCTGCATCGGAGATGATACGTACCAATCGCGCAATTGATTTTATACCGACAGGGGTACCGCCATGGAAAAATACTATGAGGCCCTGATAAACTTTGGAGTGGTGTGTATGTATGCATGTATACATGCATGTTATTATTATTGTTGTTACTGATTATTTCTCCTCGTTTCATTGCTCTTCCCTTTCGCTTACTTTTCTTCTGCTTTTCTCTTTTCCTGTTCCTTCCCCCCCCCTTTTTTTTTTACCCGCCCTTCTTCTTCTACCCGGTTTTGTTTAGTTCTGTAGTACACAGTAACTTCATTGGACTCGGAACAATTTGGCCGAAATCTGGCACCCGAACCGCAGCGCCAATTGTTGGCTTGCGTAATGGGATCGATAGCAGTACCCACTTGTTAGCGGGAATTGTTTCCACCGTCCTACAGAAGGAGTAAGAGCCTTGAGAGACCTATGATGTAGTTATCTCTCGATTCGAACTGCAGTCCGTAGAGACCGAATGAAATTAGAAGGGGCCGCCAGCATTCTTGGCATCCACGAGAAGCCTTGAAAGAGATTAAAGTTGCTCCTCCCCATCCTTCTCACCCACTCACCTTCGATCGGCCGCGATTCCTGGGATCTCCTTCCCCGCACCCACACGATGGGAATGAATGTTGATTACTCTCTTCAGCTGTGATCGTCCTCAAGCCCTCAGAGGACGATCCACTCGACGCTTTTTCACAATGTGGCTCTTGCATTCCAGCTGAAAGTCATGCCACTTCTCATCTCCATATATCCACATCGATGTAAGCGATTCCTATCCTCTCTCCCCCCACTTATTGGGTATACCGAAGAAGTATCCCTAGAAAACGTCCGTTTTCAGATTGTTCGGTGGAAAGGGTGGGGTTATGGGTGGAGATAAAGAAGATAAAAGGTGAAATGGAAGTAGGAATCGAAAAGAAGAAGAAAATAATAATAATAAAAGAAGGGGGAAAAAATAAATAATCAATGCAGTCGGAATCTCAATTGAAAGTTACTCAGTCCCGAGATTTTGCCTGGAACATCCAGTCGGGTATTTCCTTAGTTCAAGACAGTCAGGAGTTGACCGGAGCTGTTGCACTCAGCCATCATCACTACAAATCACTAATCCATACAGAGTACGGAGATACCTCCCCTTATTCCTCCATCGGGAATCATCCGGCGCGTTTATTGTTTTAAAAAGGCAGAAATATTAAATAATAATTAATAAAAAAAATTATATTAAAATCAGATCAAATAAAATAAAATATAAAAAGGAAAAAAAGAAAGAAAAAAAAAAGGAAAGAAAGAAACTAAAAGTAAAAACTTAAAAAGTGACAGAGGAAGAAGACATGGAAGAAAGAAAGCCAAGACAAACCGAGGAACCATTACGCCGTTTCGATCCTTTCCATGAGTAGGTTTCTGACTACTAGTCGCTGAGCGTTAACTATGGTCAGCATCGGATGGGGATTAAACTCCGGTCTAGGTGGTCCTGGAACTATCCGAAGCATGATTTCCTCACCCTCTCTTGTTTTCCTTGGTGGCCTACGGGGCTACTACTTGTGTTGAGGGCATTCTAAGTATACAGATAGCTTTTGCATTAAGGCACAGAAATACCTAGGTATATGCAATGCTATCTGTTAGCCACTAAGATTTAAGATCCCGTCATCTGGGTAAAAACCTGGCATATACTGGCATATACAGTACATACCCTACCAGTATCTTTAGGTAGTATAGGAGGCACCAGGGAATATTAAGGTACCGTACCGTACCGACTTACGGAGGACACGACTCATGCAATTTATGATTAAATTTATATTCATGCCAACTGACGTGAGTCAATTAGCTGCAGCCACTTCTGCATCCTCGGTAGTTGTGTTGATATTAATCACGGCGTGTAATAATATTACGGCTTCTTATTGATCATATTTAAATGCATACCATTACCCCCCTTACAACAATTTAAGATATAGAGATAACTAGACAGACAAACAGACAGGCTTACCTACATGAGTGTACATACGTTCATTCATAGGTATACACCTTCATTGAGTGTGTACCTTGGGCTAACTTTCAGTGTCGATTAACCCTAAATACCTAAAAGGTCAAGTCCTGCTCCTGACTCTTCATTGCTGGATAAATGCCCCACTGTCGTTATTTCCACCTGTCGGTTCCCCTATCTTCAGAACCTTTTTTATTTTTTTTTCCAAAACTTTTTTGTCCCTTTTTCCTTTTACTTATTCTTCCGTAAATCTTATTTCGGTTTCCGACATCTTATCTAATGTTCACGTACGTTACCTTTAATTTGCTTTGGGCCGTCAAAACAATACATTGGTTCTCATCTTCTTTTCTATCCACTTCCCTCCTTCAGTCTCATTTCCCTGAACTGTTTCATGCAAGTTGTCTCGGTGGAGCCAATGGAATCGTTTAGTCTCTTCCAGCCAATTTGTCCCCCTCTTCCAAGTGGAGAGCACATGAGGCCGCCACTCAACCGAGTCAACCGTTGACTGCACGATTTTTAGCGTCACGCTCGGTTCAAAGACCGTTCAGGTCGCCCAGTGCATGGTCCGTTCCCTGGCCTTTCCTGCACTCGTCTTCAATAGCACTCTCTTTTCGGCCGCAGGAGGCTCGAAACTCGGAAACATTCTTCATTTTCTCCGCAAACCCTGGCCATCTCTTGAGCTATACTGAGATAGGCATGGTTGTCTTACCTGCTGCTCCATCTGGTGGCCCTCTGGCTAACATAGTCCGAGAAACTGTACGTACCACTCCTACGTATACGGTCGGTTCTGTCTTTTCTAAATTTCTACGCGCACTCTGGGATGGGCGTGCACCCGAGCGTGGTTGACAGCGGACCCGGCTAGTAACGGTCGATCGATCGTCCTCGTAGGTGGACTCGTCCTTTTCTCTGATAGACCAATACCCCATCCTGGGAAGGAGAATGAGGAACTTGTCCAGCTTGAAACCAACGGTTATTTTAGATTTTCACCCGCCTCCTGCTTTTCCCTGACTCCCTGCGGACAACTTCTGCCCGAGAGAGTCACTTGCATGTGTATCTCTTGGGATGAACGGATGGGAGGTGGGTAACAGCTAAACTAAGTGGTTCTTAGGCTGAGGACTTGGTCCTTGATCTAACCCGGTCTCCGGCGGATTATGGAGCCAACGCACGACTAGCGCTGTCGGTAGCCCTTCCACATGGTGCACCAGTGCTCACTAAAACGACATTGGTGTCGGATGAGCTCCAGCCAACAAGGGTCTATTTACCCTTCAAACAACGGTTGGCTAGCCAGGAGGATGGCTGTGGGTGTCGGACTAGGGTGTCCCAGACTCGTTGACCCGCACGATGCGATGCGATGGTTTTGGTCGCAGGTTCCACTTCGGAAAATTTACATGCAATCATGACTGTGAATTGTAAACCTCCGCTGAGAAGACAGGCGACTTGCGTTGAAATGAAGAATTAGTCGGACATACTTGCAAGTTGGATCGTGAACCATTCCTTACCCCTTATCTAGTCCCTTTACGCAGGGCTGCGGCCGTCTCGGTCCATCTGACTCTGTTTGGATGTTAGGTGGAGTGCTCCATCGCCACTTTAGCTTCGGCGTAGTCTTTCTTGTTGCTTCTTTCCCTCCATAGTGTATATCGTTTATCCTGGCAAGCTCTTCCTCCCTCCTCTCTCTCTCTCTCTCTCTCTTTTATTTTTTATTTTATTTTATTTTATTTTGCTTTTTGAATATTTTATTGATTATTTATTTTTATTTTTCTGTTCCCTGTCCCTCACTTTATACACTCGTTACTTTCCCTTGACGCTCTTGATAACTTGATATACACTGGGGACAATTCTTTGAAAAACTATTAGCTTGACGTTTCTGTTGGTTTTGTCATCTTTGGGAGACTTTGCCGGTCAGAAGATTAGGTGGCCACCATCGTTGCTACAACTGTTGGTTCTAGCGCATACGACACTACGTTAGACTTGAACCCATCGAGGGAGATCCCCAGTCACTACCCAACCTTCTTTCCACCCACCATTCCTACTATTGCGTCTGTTCTTCTACTCCTTGTGACCG